TTTATTCAGCCACCTCTCTGAATATCCTCCAGCCCCAGACGTTGCCGTGACTTCCAGGCACATACACCCACACACAAAATTAAAAAAAAAATATCCCCCCACCCCACCCCCCAAAAAAAGAGAGAGAGAGAAAAGCAGTTTGAACTGAGGGAGCAAAAAAAATGTCTAGTTGTAGGTAGCCAAGATGGAAGTGAAGGCTTCTGTAATGCTTTGCTTGTATGCATGTAAACAAACCAAATGTTATAAAGACAGCCACAAGTTTCTAGTGCTCTCTAACCTGAAAGATATTTTTTTTACTGCTTAGAAGCAGGGGGCACATAATAGTACACATTAATAGAACACCAATGGGTCATATTCAGATTCCGTAACACACAGTACTTCGAAATCCTTGCAACATCCTTATAAGGTAGGTCAGTCTTCTCTTTATACTGTAGATGACCTAGTGAGAGTGAAGCCACCTAAGTGAATACCTACGGCCACCCAGTGAATTCATGTCAGGGGTTAGACACTGCCTGAATCTAAGCCCTGTACCACACTTGCCCTATTTCCACCTGCTGAAAATACAAACAGGTGAAGCTACAGTATACGGAAGCAGACCATCCAGCCAAGTGCTGCCTACACTTCAAACGTTTGAGACCCAGGACCCACACTTAACCCCAGATAACAACACAGGAACAACCCCCCCACACTTAGCTGCAAGCACATGCCTGAAAGTCATGCCATTTCAGAGTCACATGACACTGTCACCCTTAAAGCACTGCTGAAAGTATAAAATGGAGAGGCGGGGACCATACATGCTGGTGTTATCTTTTTAGAAGAAGGGTGGAATAACAACTGAATAAATAAATTAATTCCATGAAGGCTAGAATAGGGATTTGTAACTGTATTCACACTTACCTGGTAGCAAGCATCAGTGAATTCAGCAGGGCTTACTTCTAAGCAAGTTTGCATTTGACCAGGATAATCCGCTGAAAAGTCCCTAGTTCAACTCTTAGCCTAGTCTAGCTAATACTCCCTAACAGCACATTTCTAAAACCAGCTGATAAACTGCTTAAAGTACCAACTAACCCCTGACAAATCTGGAGGTAAGCCACACAGCTGCACACCAATGTTGTGCCAGTGTAAACCTGACCAGTTCTTCTGGAGGAGCCCCGACAACCACGGCAAAGTTCCAGTGCAAATCCCTCTAAGGGATGGGTTTGATGACTACGCTGTCACCCCCCAAAAGAGAATCCCACTGAGGGAGGGCAGAAGCATGACAACTGGTAGAGCATCATAACAATCCTTGTGTCTCTTTAGCCTCTTTGCAGGTAGCCGGCCAACAGGGGGAGAGACCAGGATGGACCTCATTCATGTTACAGTGTCAACCACCTGCTGAGGCCACATGACCAATAGCTGCAGACCTCTAACTGGTTTGCTGTGAAGTTGCCAACTCTCTTGTTTTAGCCTGGTTCCTGTACCACTGCAAACTTCTTAACAGAGAGCCCTCTCTCATGGGCATGCAGTGATGGGGTCAACTGTACCTGTGATTCTGTGGTCCCTGTCTACGTGGCTTTGAAAGGTACAGGAGCCTTGCTACATTAAGTGAGCTGGCAACCCCATTAATCTGCTGGAAAAGCACTGAGTACAGACTAGAAACCCTGGAACCACACTAGCATTGCTGATGCACAGACATCTGGGGCTCAGGACTGTGCTGCACACGACTTTAGGCAAGCTGTTGGATCTCAACCACAGCCTACATCTTTGCACTCTGGAACATAGGGAAGGTAACACAAGAGCACTATAAAGTAGATCAGTGACAGTGCAATCCTTAACAGAATTACAACCCTTCTAACTCCACCGACGTCAATGGACTTAAAAGTGTGCAACTCTGCTTAGGATTCTACTAACAGTGTCACTGATAGGCATGCTTTGAACACTCGAACGTTTTTCCTAAACCACAAGCAGAGTAATTTGGGGAAGATCATACTTATTCAATATTTGTGTGATATATTCATTTTTTACATTAATTTAGTTTAAAAAACGCAAAGGATGCCTATATACAAAAACATTGCTCGCCCTGGGTACGGATGGGAGGGAGATGCCAGATGAAAGGAATTTCTGGTGCCAGCGGAGTTACAGACTGTTTTATCTATTCCCTCATTAACATTGGAAATATGTCAGGAATCCCTCCCAGCACCTCCCCGGTGGACACAGCCGATGTTATAATCATCTGCCTCAGTCATCACACTCTGTTGCCATGGCAAATGAGTTCAGCACTGTGAATTCATAAGCTGACAAAACATAGCTTGGTGTTCTCTGAAGTTATGTCTGCTGTGATTTTTGTATTAGTGCAGCAGGGAGGGGAGAAAGACAGCACCAGATCTCTGGCTTAATTTTGGAAAACAAGTTTCTAGCCCTTATGGCTATAACATTCAGTAAGGGCCCTATACAGCTCCTCCCCATGAGCAGTGAAGCAAAGCAGTCAACTACAAAATACTATGCATATTATTATACATATTACCTAAGAACTATGTGTTAGAATATATGTCACAAACTGAATCACTGATGAAGGCGACAGGAGGGAGGTTTTCTGAGGCTCAGGATGCTTCTCTTTATACTGCCAGTTTGGTGTAGTGGTTAGGACTGTGGACGCTAATCTGGGAGAACCGGGTTTGATTCCCCACTCCTCCACATGCAGCTGCTGGTGTGACTTTGGATCAGTTACAAGTTCTCTCAGAGCTGTTCTCTCAAGGGCAGTTCTTGAAAGAGCTCTCTCAGCCCCACCTACCTCACAAGGGTGTCTGTTTTGGGGAGGGGAAGGGAAAGAAGTTTGTAAGCCACTTTGAGATTCCTTTGGTAGTGAAGGGTGGGGTATAAATCCAATCTCTTCTTCATTTTGGTGCAGATATTCTTTTTGCGCACACAGGCATAACTGTTTACCCAACATCCAGACCACTCTCTACTCTACACTTATTCAAACCCTAGGCAGCAAAGACTGTTGGGTGAGCAAGGCTGTAAAAGCCCATGTGGCCTAAGGGCAGGTAGATGTGCATTCCACAGCTTGCATCCTGCAAGAACTCCAGTTCACCAATCCATTAGCAACAAGTAAAGCAATAATTATATGCCAAATTTGAGTACTGCAGACAGTGTGCACAGGACACAATTTTGACCTTTTTGTTGGTCCCTAAAAATCACAGAGCCTATAAAGTACTGGCTATAATGAGAGGGTCTTGCTCATGAGGATTATCCACTTTGCTCCCTTCAGGAGCACTTGGCTGCTGAACTGACACCATGGGAAATCTTGCAGCACCTTAAGAGAAAATGCCATCTGATTCTCCCCAACCAGGACTTGAGGATCAATGCACACTTGAGTACAAGTCTTAATTCAAAGTCAATGCAATAGAATCCTGGTGGTCCCAATCTCCATTATACAAGATCTCCTTGTCATTTCAATTTGCCAGGATGTCCTGGTGCCTGTGCAAATCAGAAATTTGGCTGACTGAAATTATTATCTTTTTTGGATTCCCACAAGTCATTCTAGGGAATGGGGACGAAAAATGAGAAACTGCACAAAGAAGGGGTGTAATGCAATTTACAGGAGTCAAGCCGGGACTCCTGCAAAGATGAAAACAGAATATTATGCTGTGGATACAAAGAATGAAGTCAAATTCCCATTATTTTAGGAAAAAGTGTGGAGGCAAAACAACACCCCCTTGATACAATCTGATTCATAAGAAACATTAGCAAAATCCCTGTGGTGAGCATGGGAGTGGCTTGCTCAGGAATCTCTGGCCTATTTCCCTCAGTTTTGTAACTAGAAATATTGAAATCTCTACAAAGAATGCCCGCCATTGACTCTGTTTAGGGGTGGGGAAAAGGCAGTGAACCCTAAGCATTCTATAGCTCCCTTGGCGAAGACCAGGCTGAGGAAAATTCAGACAAAAGGTGCATGGCACTGCCCAATGTAATGACACTGGCTTCACTGGGACCCTGTGCATAAAGACTACAGACACAGTACCACAAAAATAAAACTGCAACAGGCCCTAACAAATCTCATCAGTACTTAGCCTGGAAAATGAAAAGTGGCAGAAGTTTAGCACTGCTAGCAGCTATATCCCTCATCTTAATATTGTGGAAACTAGTTGAGATTGCTTGCAAAGAATAACAATCTGCACACGCTCAGAAGTACTCTCTGACATTCCTCACCAAGTCTTAAATGCACACTTGTGTAAAAGCAACCCAAACCTTCCTAGATGTAAGCCTTGGTCCCAAAAAAATTGGGGGGGGGGGAGAGAGAGAGAGTGGAAACAAATGCGTCAAACTACCTGCTTTGCCTGTCAACCTCCGGCAGTTAACGAGCCGGAGGCTGCAGGGCAAGGGAAAAGCTGCCCTTAAACTGTGGAGTCCCAACTGCGCCCAACTGTCGTCCATATTCCTGGGATCGGTAGATTGTCTTGCAGTTTATTCTATGCAGCTTTTAGGCTTTCCCAACACGCTAAGAAGGCAGCTGCCCAAGTTCCTGTTCGTGCAATGCGCGGCCCCCATTAAAGCATCCGAGACCCAGTAACGGGAAGAGGCTTGCAACGAAGCATGCACGCCAATGCCTGCGGGGAACGGAAATCGGATTTGTGTGACGACGTAAAACAGCCCCTACTTTTTGAAAAGGCGCGTCCTTTCTATACCAGAAAGAACCCCGCGTACCTCCAGAATTAGGGTTTGACATGGCTGACAGGAAAGCCCTTTGCCTTCATTCCACTATACTCGTGCGCCTCAATCCACGCGCATTTACACACCAATTCTACGACCCATATGCTGAAGCTTCAACGGGCGGAGGCTCGGTCAACTCTGCACAGACATGCATTGTTAATTTGGTGGGACTTACTCCCAAGCATAGGGAGCGGCAAGGGCGCCGACCCTCCCCGCCCCAACCCTTTCCCTGCCCTTCATAGTTCTGTAGTTTGGAGAGGGAATCCGGTTCCACCTACCCCCAGATCTTCCCTCCAGAAACTCTCACTCACCACATCCTGAGGCAGGAAGATTTCTGCCTTGGCCCCACAGGCTGCGGCGCCATCCTTCTCCGCCTTGAGTTCTGCTACCGGCTGCTGGAAGCTGATTTTCACCATGGCTCAGCCGCAGCTTCCAACCCGAGCCCGACGCCTCCTCCGCTCTCTGTGGTCGATGCTTCTCTGGCGTCTCTCCCAATCTTACAGGGCGCGGAGGAAGCGCCGGAAGTTCAGCCTTTTTGCTTTCTCTTTTTTTCCCCACTCCCCCGAAGTGAATGCAAAGCAGGGAGCCGCTCTGCCCGTTGCTCCCGCGCCAGTTCTCCTCTGCAAAGAGCGCTCTTGAGGCTTCGGCTGTTCCATTTCGGGGTGCTAAATCAGCCAGACTCCAGGCTTCCGTTCCAACATGAAAAAGGTGCTGGGGCTCTGGGATGTACTAAAAGGAAATGTCCAGATACCCAGCAACTGGTTGTGGGTGTTTACCTTATCACCGATCAGGGATCGTAGAGCATTTTGTACATGCTCAGAGAGAAGGTCCCCAAATTGTGCATGGTAACTCAGAATTGCAGCCTAGATCCTTCAGCAATAGCAGGGAGGCAGGGACTCTGGGAGTGAAAGAGGAGCTATAAGCAGGTCCTTATTTTCATCTACCAAGTGTTGGACGGTGTGGGAATTCAGAATATACTATGTAGTGTAAGCCAATATGGGCAGATATTTATGCGCATAACAAGTTAAGGGGTCCTTGGAGCAGATTTTGGCTTTTAGTCTATACACAGACTTGACAGTAAACATTTTTCTCTCGTTGCTCATGAATACGGGGTGCAACATAAAAATGTGACAAGTTCCTTAATACTGGCTTTGACAGAAAATATAAAGAGATTCCTGCTAAGGAATACATTAGGTTCCTTAAGTTAATGTAACACAGAGCCAGAAAAACAAACTCTTTTATCAGATGACCTGTTTGTGATTAATTTAGCTTATCTACCTCAAGCAGGTCTATTGAAGAGGCAGCACAGAAATCTTCTATATAATTAATCTTTAATTCAGTCAACAGCTCCCAAAAGGCTGCTTTGTATCCCCCCCCCCTCATAGCTCTATTTTTTAATTATTAGCAAACACTTTCAGTCCTTTGGCTCAAGCTTCATGTGCAATAGCATTGTGTGCCACTGCAGATATTACAAGTTGATCAATTTCATTTACTTAGAGATTTATACCCTATTTTGTCCCCCAATGGGGACCCAAAGCAGCTTTCGATACCGTTCTCCCATCTTCATTTTATCCCCACAACAACCACCTTGTGAGGTAGGCTGAGAGTGTGTGACTGACCAAGATCACCCAGGAAGTATCCATGGCAAGAGTGGTGATTTGAACCTGGGTCTCCGAGATTCTAGTTCAGCTCACTAAACACTACATGTTTCTGGCTCTGGTGGTGAAAAACAGCTGCATAAGGGTACTCCTGTTTCCACTTTGTGCTGAGTGGTGTTAAAAGCATAAAGTGATCTTGCACAGGGCCGTCTCACTGCATCCCAGAGACACCTGCCCAGCTTTTTAAAATCTCCTGATGTATGGGTACACGAAACAGCTTCACCCCAGGTATCTGTGAAAAAAACTGATCACTTTGGAAGGGAGATTGTTAATTTGTACTCTGTTAATGCTCAAAGTTTGCAGGTAGGCCAAAAGTTGCCAATTATCTGTGGTTCTATCTAGTCTTCAATCTGCCAGGTTAAGAGGATGTATGTCTAGTTTTATGTTAATGTGCGTGCCAGCCAACAGAACAAAAGAATGTTTCCTATGGCACCATGACCCATAGTTAGGAAACCTCCTAGAAACTTGCTGTTTCACCGAGTAGGATGGGAGGCATCTGCTAGGGTTTAAAGCGAGAACTCTATGGGAAAATATTAGATTTCAGGTGGCAGAGAGCAGAGAAGAGAACACGGAGTTCATATGGAAAGAAAGCTTGACTTCAGGAGGGGAATGTTTATGGAACAAGAGACTTGAATAAATACTCTCCCATCTTTAAGGTGCCACTGGACTTTGACTCTGAATTAAAACGGCCAGGAATGGACTGCCAACAGAAACCTGGTAATTTTCCAGTTATTATTCCAACCTCCTCATTCACCCTCAAAGAGGGTTCATTTAGACCTAGGGGCCTAGGATTCTGTTTATTGGTCATTTTGTTTTCCTTCGGTTCAGTAGTGGTTATACAGTTTTTTGAACAACTACATGCTAGGGGTAGCATTCTCAACAGGTGGTGGATTTCCCCTGGAATTAATACTGATCTGACTAAAGCGATCAGCTCCCCTGGAGGGAATGGCAGGTTGGGAGGGTAGACCCTGTCCCATCACATCCCTGCTGGGCTCCCTCCCCTCCCCTCCCCTCCCCTCCCAAGCAGCTAGGAATTTCTCAAGGCAAGGTTGGTAACCCTTTCCCTTCTGTAATCTGTGACAGCAAATGCATGTCTAGGGTTCTCCCCCCCCCCTTTTTAGGAACGGATGTTATGTTGATCTGTCTGTGCCCACATAAAAGCTTAACTTTAGCTGCCTTACCATGGTACAAAGAGAAGACGTCTGCCTCTGGATCATGCTAGCAAGTGAGAGTTTAAGACTTCTCTGCCCATGGGGATCCTTAATTTTGAAGAGTGTTCTAAAAGATAAAAAAAATAGAGTGCCTTCAGATAACCAGACAGACGTGTCTCCGGTTCATATTCTGTAAATGGGAATCTTATTCGGGGTGTGGGGATGTAGAAGAGGCCAGCTAAGTAATTCAACCCCTACCCCCTTTTAGAACAAAGTGCACGCAGGGCCTACTTTGCCACACCATCAGTGTTATGAAAGATCCAGATTTTACAAACATTGTCACCACAGATTTCAGCTCAACTGTTTGCACATGGCTCTTACTGCAGGAAGGAAAACCATAGAGCAGGGGTGTCAAATTCATTTGTCATGAGGGCCGGATCTCACATAAATGAGACCTTGTTGGGCCCTGCCGTGTGTGTCATAAAATGTAATGCCAGGTAGTGGAGATATAAACTTTATAAAAGACAGAAACACAGTTAAAGATTTTTAAAACTTTAAATAAAACATGCTTAAAACATTAGCACTCTTGCAATATTTTGTCTGTTTTACAGTTTCTGATAACTGACACCTCTTGCTCTGAATTATTGCATCAAAATGTCTGTGCTGTAGCAATCCTGAGTATGCTGTTCAGGTGTGTATCTGTAAGATGCAAACCTACTTTTGATTTATTGGCATTCATTACAGAAATCTCATGCTCAGTGTTCTGAGCCTAGGACCGAGGGGAAAACATGAAATGACTGAACATTGCAAGCTTTTGTACATAAGTTGCTTCATGTGCTGGTCAAGAACATCAGAAGGCATCCTGACACAGTCTTTCCTAGAGAAATAACTACAACTTCCTACAAAAGAAATGTGCTGGGTGAACTTAGTCTGGACACATACTCTCAGCCTAATCCACCTCACTGGCTTGTTGTTATTCCTCCTCTAAAACACTTCACATTGCTTTCTTACTGAGAAAGACTGGATCGTGAGGGCATGAATACAGTGAAAAGGGGGAGGGAACCCAGTTGCATCCAGGAAAGCCCTGGCATAAGGAACCCATCAACACACACACACAGAGCATAAGGAGCCCAACAAAACACACACACACTGTAGCAAGGCACACAAAAGATCATACCTTGAGCAAAACAATGTTGGTATTTCTCTCGTGTGATTGAGGCAGCCCAGCAAACCAAGCTCTCCCTCCCTCCCTCCCTCCCTCCCTCCCTCCCTCCCTCCAGGGAGGAGCCTCAGCCAGTGGAAGGAAAGGCAGGCTTCCCTTTGTTTCCTGCATATGATTGAGGCAGCCTGGCCAGAAAGCGAGCGCTGGCTGGTTCCCTCCCTCCCCCGGGAGAAGGGGGAGGAGCCTCAGCCAATGCTTTATCAGACCCTCTCAATTGCACAGGAGAGGCTTGCCTATCTCTCCTGTATGATTGAGAGAGTAGTAAAACAAGTTGCAACATAGCAGCAGCAGCAGAATTGGAAAAGGAAACAGGAAATAGCCAGTTTCACTGCAGGCCTGATAGAAACCCTCCGAGGGCCTGATCCAGCCCACGGGCTGCATGTTTGACACCCCTGCCATAGAGGGTTTCACTCTGAAATGCAAAATATTGGCTACCTTTGTTTATAAGCCAAAGTTCCTTTTCATTTTGTTCAGCACATAGAAGTGATTACATCTTTAAGGTCTTTCTGGCCATGGCCCTTAATCTCGGCAATTTTTATCTAGATGTTAAACTTCAGGTGAGTAATTTATAAATGTAATAAAATATTAAGCTTTCCAATTCAGATAAATTTTCACATAGAGATCCCATAATATTGTTAACTATTCTGAAACCAGAGTAAACCAGGGTGAGAGCTGAGATGAGGTGGGGCTCAAATTTAAATAAACATCAATGTGTAGAATACAAATGTTCGTTTTTATGAGCTCTCACTTAGGAGTGTTTCAAGCAGTGCAGAAAATGGTGGTTTTGTGGTTACCTTAAAAGGCTTTGAATACCTTCTGGGAAACCGCAGCTGTCTGCTTGCTAAAAATCCAGGTGCTGAAAATGCAGCCTTCAGGTTACTATGGCAGCCAGTGCCATTGCCTAGGGATTGGAGCCATTGTGTTACCAACCCACCAGACTACAAATACAACATTGTCACACTGCATTTTTTTGTTTTTAGAAAAAGAGGGGTTTTCAGGACTTCATAGACAGAATATCAGCACTTATGCAGTGCAACCTACACATGCTTACTGGGAAGGAAGGTGGGGGGGGCCCTTCAGGCCAGGATTTTGTAATTCAGGGGGCTTTTAAATAAATCAGGGGGCATAGATGTCACAAAATAAAAAATAAAATTAAACCATTTAAAAAATTCACTTTTGCAGTGTTCGCACTCTGTTTGCCTACATGGGGAAGTGAGCCACGCTTGGGGAAGGGGCGGTGGTGGGGAGTCCTCCAGGTGGCCCAGAGAGTTGAGAGTCCTCTGGATGGCCCAGAGCTAGGGGGCCTGAGGGCTGGATGGAAGTCAGAGGGCCTTGGCAGGAAGTCAGGGGGCCAGGCCCCGAAATGCCCCACTGTAGCTACAGGCCTGGGGGGCTTACTCCCAGGTGCATAGTGTTGCAGTCTCAAACCAGCAGGCAGA